ATACTTACATTTCACAGTAATTTCTAATTTCGTAAAATGGTAAAAAGATATTGTGCCATGATATTTTATGCTAATAAAATAAACACAGGGTTATTGCTTAGTGCGATAATGTTAATTACCTAGTTTATCCAGCGATATATTAAATGTGCAGAACCTTCTGATAATTGATAAACAGTTATAAAGTCACATTTTGAAATTAATTATTCATATATAGGGCGAGTTACTTTTTTTGCAATATTAAATCGATATTTGTAAATAAATAGAACAAAGTTTAATAATTTTGCCCTGGCAAAATATGCACATAGAACAATGGAACGATTAAGAACGGCTGGATGAAAGAATATAATTTGAACCGTTTATTTGTTGTAGGATGGGTTTAATTTTGGGTTTTATTTTGATAATTCACATACATTTAACGAGTAGGTATTGAATTGAATAAATTATTTCAAAATACAAAATAATAACAACTTCATCAAATAGCGATATGCCCGAGATAAAAATGATAAAATTATAAATTAACACTATTGTAAATTAGAAATTTGCCCTCTATCAATTTTCTCAGAACATTTGTAGTGGACATTTGAACATTTGCAGTACATATTTCCAGTTATTTAATTTTTTTTGAAGTCACTCTAGACATCTAACGGATAAATATTGAATGGATATGTAGCTCACACCGTTGAAATTAAACCGAGATGATGTAAGCAACGATCAACAGAGCGCGCTCGTTGTTCCTAAGCTAGAAATAAATCTACTTCAATTCTAAAGTTAATGTATTATGTGAATTAATTTTTTTTATAGTTTCCTTATAATTGCAGTTATAAAGGCTGGAAAACTATCCATAAAATTGCAATGAGTCAAATATTTCTAACACTTTTAATGATAAATAGGTACAATATGTAATGTTGCTGTAGTGCTGCAGAATCTGGACATTATTCGAGTTAAAAAATATAAAAAAAATATTAATTACTGCGTCAATATTTTACTTAGGTACTTAGTTTAAAATATATACTTACATTTTTAATTTTAATGTATGTATGTATGTACAATTAAACATTACTAATAAATTATATCAATAATTTTATCGTAAAAAATCAACAACAGTGATCATCAATCATTAACAATGGCCTATTACTTTAAATAAAAAAGCCATTGAACTAAATTCTTCAATTAGGTCAATCTAATTAGTCCAAGATTTTTGGCAATATCCAAACAAATCTTCAAACCGTTTGACAGTCAATAACGTATTTCATCGTACTCGTTTCGTTTACGTTTTTACATCATCTACGTAAATTATTAACAGGCTTTGATCGGCTAATAACAGTTCGCCGACACACTTCGAGATCGTTAAAAACGACGTTTACAACTTCCACATTTTCGCCGATCGGCTATTAGATATCAAAAAATCGCTTCTATTAACGTTATAAAACAAATTTTGCAGTTACGTATACGCTATATTGTCATAGCAAAAAAATGATGAAACATTATTTTAATATTCAGAAAGTTATTAAATACCATTACTGGACATGCATTACTGGACTTAAAAGTTCTAACAAAAAGCAACGCAATTATTTTCGTCATTAGAAATGTTGAGTTTCCCGAAAGGAAATAAATTTAAGCCTTTGTAAGGTGTCGTTTTTACGCCTAAGCTGGTTTTCTTTTTACAATCCTATTATAAGCCAATTTTTTATCAACTCAATATTTCCCTTGACTTTAAGGTCAAGGGAAAATGTAGTATAGATAGGTAGATGAAATTTATATTGATTCAGCTCTGCAAAACCCTTAATAATAATTCAATGATGGATAATGAACATCTTTTATAAGCCACCTAAAAATGTGATCAAAACTCCTAAATTAATGTAATATCCACATCAAATAAAGTATTTTTTGGCGAATATTCTATAAATAAAAACCTCGTACCTATAATTTGTTTGTTTGTCTTAATCTATATAAAGATTCTATCTTTATTTCATGAAAGGGCCACAAAGTTTATCTTCCAAAACACATGCATATTCTAATAGACTTCTTTCCACTATCTGTATACACAAGAAAAAAACATAACAGTAGCTTTTAAGCTTGAGTTTTATACGTCAACGGCATTCATTGAGAAAATAAACTGTTTTTATTTTACATCTCCACGTCACAAATTTGAGGCACTGTTAATAAAATATACCTATGTACAAGAAATCTAACTACTAGGTAATTAGGTAAGACAAGGTAGGTACAACTGTTAATTTTAGTTATACTAAAAATTAGGTTATACTACATGTAGTTATAACAATAAGTAAAATGAATAAATGGAATAAAAATTGTGCACTTGCGCCGAAAAAACCGCCAGTATAAATCAACCCATGCTTTAAATTGCATTACATCCAATGCATTTAATGCAATTAAAATTAATGTTGTTTACGATCGATAAATCGGACAGAACTGGCATTTATAAAACGCTAATACGATTCTAATGTTCGATGTGCTGTTTTAACGGCATGCACAGATAATTTCATCGGAATAACGCACAATCCTGGTATCGATGACGAAATTGTTTTCAAAATTGATAAAAAAAACGTACGATGTTGTATTTACAGCGTTGTTGCGATTTTTTCGCGATGATATAATTACATTTTCCGGCGCTAATAAATATTTAATTGAAGTGTTTAATCGAATTGAACATGTAAAATTTAACGTTGCAAACAAATGAAGGGTACAGGGGAAGAACAACAATAGTCCATCTAAAAGATTATCGAAAAAAATTAAAATATAAGTTTACCTACTCGTTAGAAAGTGAAATTAAAGGTATCTTTTAGCTGTTGTTTTACGGACTTGAGCAATTTTTACCATTTAACGATTTCATTATCTGATAGTAACTATGAAATGCTATAATAATAAACTGTGATCTTAGTTTTGCAAAATGGACTATTGTCGTTTTTCCCCTGTAGCCTTCAAATTACTTCACAACTCGCCATTAGCTTCCAGTTTTTGTTAATTTAAATTCGAATTTACCGACTGTACTGCTGTCTAAAGTGCAATTTAGTCGTGTAGAATCATTCGCACGGTTGACTCATCGTCACTAATGTGATTTTCTCCTTTCGACTGCCGATTAAAAACCAAATTTTTATAGACGATGCCGTTTTATGTAGAGAGTGCGAAATGCCTTTTCTAAAGTACACCAACGCATGCCAAACGATGTTCGTTTCATTCATTCATTCCTTCAACAGGTTAGCTTGGGACAGTACAAAGTGAACAATACAATTTACACAAAAGTTCGGTTGTATGAAATGATTGCGCTTATTTATTTTTCAGATCATCTCTTAATACACTACTAAATAATTTATGAATATAATTTGGTTTATAAACCATTTCGAATATAATCTAATTTATTCACAGATAACTTCAATATAAATTTACCCTGAAAATACCATCTAATTCGAAATCCAACCTACGCCTATACATCAAACATTAAATATTTACGTTCCGCGAAAATTTATCTATTAGATATAATTTTTTATAGGTAGGATACCTGCCTACCTATAAAAAATGTATCCTTGATCTCACGCTACATATTTATTATACTCGTAACGTACGTAATTATTAGCATAAAACAGATTCCACTACAATAAATTAATGCGTAGTAAAATAGTATTGACCTCCACCTTAGAGGAAGTCTTTTGTGGGTGGAGTGGAGATTAAATAATTTTATTAGATATTGACATCGATTACTGAATAATAGAAATTAAATATGATGTAATTATCAATTCATATGTAATTGTCATTAATCATTAATAGTCATCAAAAGATTACACAGGATGAAGGATTTGAGAAACCACCTGAGCACAAAACCTTATTATTAACATTCTCTTGTAAAATGTACCTATACCTACATAAAATAGAAAACGAAAAGCCCATTTGGGAACTATTTGGGAGTTCAGTACCCTCTCAAGTCGAAGAAAAAAGTGAAAGCACAAGTGGAATTACCGAGACAGTGAACTTGATATGAAAGCACAATCAAGCCATTATGTAGTTTTCATAATTGCACAAAGTCTCGCAAAGTTTTCGCCTTTTTATTCATCGTTCTCCGACCACATTCCACAGTTATAATATACTTATACATTTTGAGTAAAGCGGGAGTATTTTACTCGTGTATAATGTAACACAAAAAAAACGACGAAAAGCCGCGAAACGTGGAATCATCATTGCTGCCAATTGGCGCCCTTCCAAACGAGATACCTATTTATCACGAAAATAATGCGCGCAAACAATAGGAAACTGTTGAAGAAAAACTCAATTTGCTCAATTGAACGGAATAAAATGAACGTAAAGTTTAAAATTAGTCTAAAATAGACGATATTTCCATTATTTTTAATCTTAAAACAAAACGTTTTTTTTTTCGTTAAACAATCTTAATTATTTCCTATATGTAGGTGCGCAGCACAGGTACGTTAAATTATCTATTAATTACAGACAAACACATTAATAAGCACTTATGATATGTCATTAGAAAATCCAACATCAACGGCAGCACTTCGAAGTTAAATAAGCAGTTCCTCGTTTATTTACTATAAAGAGATTGACATATTTTACAAAAAAAATACTTCGCATAGATTTAACGCCGAGTGCTTTATTATTAAGTTATTTCACTTTAGATTTCATTAAGTCGGAAACGTCAAAATCGATTACGTGCACAACTACATATATAGATATATCTCGAGAACCGGCAGACCAAGCCCAATGGATATTTCAACCGCTTTCTTCCCATAAATTATATATTTATTAAAATACAAAAAAAGGAGATTGTATGTTAAAGTTTGTTATAAAGCGGTGACTGGAAACGATTGCGACGATTTTTATGGGACTGGTAGCATTTTTGATGAAATATTGTATTAGTAACACTGATTTTTATCTCGATATTATGATTATCTTCACTAAAGGAATCCGTTCTCAAATTTAATCATTCATATAGGTACAATGATTAAAAAAAATACTAAAGAATTAAATTTACTAACCTGTGTCCTAAAAGGATGCGGTCTATTAGATGATGGTCCACCATGTTCATCCATTAGGCCCTAAAAATAAATGAAAAGCCTGTGTAAACTCAAATTATTCTCAACTCACAAATTTTATTACTTTTCTTCATAAAGCCTGGCCCAACATTACAGATAAGTAAAGCTCATTTACTATTGTAGTTTTGAGTGGGTAATGTTAAATTTGTACTATTAATTAATACTTGGGAAACAATAATTTACCAACACGAATCTTAAGATATTTTCTATTTACTATTTTATCAAACCTGTTATATTATTTGATTAGCTAAGTAGAAAATGGTTCACCCTATAGTAATGGGACACCCTATAGATAACCACCCAAAATTCCGGTAATGGTTTTGCATTTAAACAGAGATAAAAGTACTCAATAAAACACAAACATGTAACGTGCATTATATCCTTGTGGATAAAAACATGTTATAAATGATCTTCGCCTCTTGAACATCATATATTAATAATAACATTAATTCTACACGTACTTCGTCTTATCATAATGATCCATATGACACCTATGTCACGTTTATGATAATTTCGGTCGAGTATAAAGAGAAACTGGCTATATCTACAGGGTAATCAAATACATAATATACAATGGAATTTAACACTCCCTGTATAAATATTAATTAGATATTTTATTAGATCAATGAGGAGGACAAGCTATATTATTAAAAAGGCGCATTTTAAACCCTTTAAATCCGCAAATTCAGGATATTCTTAATTATTTTTTATACATTATTATAACTACATAAAAATATTGGAAAATCATAAAAAATATGCGTAGGTATAAGTAAATTTACGAAACGTTGATACACATGTTCTCAAAAATCTGAAATTCTCATCTTTCAATAAATTCATTGAAAAGTAATACCTTATGTATTATACATATGCTCAAAAATTAAAGCGTCCAAAACAAATTACTAACAATAAATATTAAGTAAACAAGTATAGGTAAGAGGTATTTTATTATATTCATTATTAAAACTGTTGTTTTGTTAAAAGCATGAATGTTTTAGATCTAAGCAAGGTCGCATTTTTTAAACGTGAACTATACACATAGCGATAGTAAAAATCTTACAAAATAGAGAAAAATGGAAGACATGCAATTAATCAATAACGTACTTTTTATTGAGGAAATGAATCGTTTGATATTTTATTCTAGCAATAAATATTTCTCTTATTTTATTTTTGATTGCAGCTTTTCCTCTTTCATACTGTTGGGCATTTATTTATTACAGTTCTATTTTATTTCTCAATAATTATTTTTTAATGAATAATATATTAATTAGATACATATGTACATATGTAGTAGTTGAGTAAGTAAAGAAACAAAACAGGTCGAGCTTTCTTCTAAACAATTTTGACGAAAGCAACCATTTTGAACCTTTTGAGGTTTGCAAAAAAATGGATATCTTTACTGTTGAATCCTTTAAATCTTGTGAAGTTTTAAAAACAAGACAATTCCTTTTTTGCATTGACCCCATTCAAATCTTCGGATTAATTTTAATCGACGTGTTTCAAGATTAACTCGACTTATGACGCTCGAGTCTCGACTGTCGTTTAATTGATGATAAAACACGGGCGGATCAAGGCCGATCTTATTAGTAAACAATGCGAATTACCGCGGATTTGCAATAAAACAACAATGCCAGATCCGGAGCATATTATTATTTTCTTAACTACCATATATCACGAAAACGAACGAGTTTTATAAAAATATGACGGAATGGATAAAATATTTGTATTTTTCGAAACGAGGTAAGTATAATCAGATTCGAAAAGTATTCGGAAATCAATTACCTAATGGAATCGAATAATTCCCATATTTATATTAAAAAATTATCTTTTACATATTCATTAGATATATTCTTATAGAATGCCATCATATTGAATTTACTGCACCTAAATGCATTTTACCTAAAGTTTCTTGTAGCTATTATAGCTTATAATTTATAATATTTACGAATCACCATATCTAATGTATACAAAAATGAAAGTTGTAACCATAATTCTTCACACAAGTGATATAAAATACGAAGTAGCAAGCAGTAAAACGTTGCTTAACATTCTCATTATTATCAATTTCTAAAAAATTACAGTGTGTATTACGCAATTTTTTCCCACATTTTCTGCCATTCTCATCGAATTTGCTACACGCTTAAATCACTTTTAATTTCAGCCATACGCTAAAATTTTATTGTCATTTTTTCACGAGGACAATCCGGTTGAGCTAAAATCGTTTTTGAGGTAATTAGCGTTTAAATCAACATAAAAATAGGCCCCAGATCACTTTTCGGCGACTCCAACGAAATCCGAAATTAACGATTCCGTTAATTTATTACAAAAAAAAATATATATAGAGCATTTTCTAGCAAAAACGAGCGTATAAAATCTAAAAATACAAAAAGCATTTTATAACTAGTTAACGTCTAGGTAATTTGTATATCTAGGTTAACTCAACCGCGTTTAAAAGAACAAAAAATTATTTTTATCTCGCGACTCATCAACTGAAAAGAGAACAAACAATGGAAAACCAATTGTTCCCTACTATTGTGTTTTTAAATTGAATTTGAAGAAGAAAGTGTTCACAATATACTCAGATATCTACATGAAGGCAGTTTTTACTTAAAAAATCATTCAACTCACCTCTTTATCGAGGGTGCAATTTCTACTCAATATTTTTCTTAACTTGAAAAGGGAATATAAGTAATACAAGGGATGATTCTAAAGATCTGGGAATTGTGCTCTAATTAAATTAGGCAGAACTTATAGCCAAATTGGCAATGTTATTTAGTGACATGTTTATGAAACTATCCAGTGCAGCATTGTTCTGTCTGATTAGGTGTTCAGCTGAGCACAATTACCAAAACTTTGGAAACATCCCTCGTGTCTTCATCACTTTGTAGAACGATCTTCGTACTGAAACTGTAGTTTTTCCATTGATTTTAATGTTTGAGATGATCCTACATAATTGCCGTTTGGTTATATCAAAACAGAACCACCCTGTAGATGACTTTTGGAATCGACTTACATTTCCGAGTTTCGTCATGAAATTTACACCTAAAATCGGCTTTACTGAAAGACGAGCACAAGTATGTATTAATCTGCTGGAGCTAAATCGGCCTCTCGTGCCCATCCACCACAAGGCATTTAAATCCTCCTGTTCGAGCCGTTAACAATAAAGCTTATAAAAAAAAGACGAGATTTCGTGTTGTGCGTAACGGTAACTTCCGAAAGGAAAGGTCAAAACATTTGGTTATCAGGAAAAAAATATATAATTAAATGCACGTTTTGTCCAGGTAAATGTCCCAGATTTTAACAAGGAAAAATATTGAGCTTACCACGTATATGTAGGTAAAATAACTGCAAGGACAAAAGAAAAATGTATAATGTAAGTAAAAAATATTCATGAAAATAATCAGTATTATAAGGAGATATGTATGTATGCCGAAGGATTTAAGGTCGCCGACTTTCCTCTATATTAAAAAAACTGAGTTTTGGTGATAAAAATCGAAAAAAAGTAGGAAAATGATTCAAACTACCTACTGTTACCTCAGTTACAGGAAAAACATGAATAGAGTAGTGTTGCATGTACAATTTGATGTCGCCTGTATTAAATAAATAAACGCACAATCATTTAAATTTTTTTATCAAATATTAGGAGAATAACCGCCTGTATTGAAATACGTACAAATCTCTCTGTATCAGCGTAATCCTTTTTTCAGTTTGCTTTTGATAATTTTATCTTGTTTACCCTATCAATTTGTATCTATTATTACAGTAAACCTTATTTGTCACATAAAAGGGAACCGTTAATATTAACATCCTGCTTTCACAAAAACATAAATTTAAAAAAAGAACATCCCTTTCCACATTTGCAATGCTTTGAAAAACTTACAAATTTACAATATATTTTTTAGAATGTAATTATTACATAGAACCCTTCTTAACGACTATTCGCATCTTGATATATCGAACAATGATACTAAATATAATGTAATCATAAAAATTACATCCACAAATTAGCAGCCAATAAAACGAATTGAACCATCTACTCCTGATAAACAAGTAATTTAGGTTAGACTTGTAAACAAGAATTTATCAATACTGCGATAACTCTCTTAACTTACCCTGAAATTCCTCTATTATTACCCTCCAGACAATCGAAAGTCGATTACAATTTAAAATTCCATTTAAAAAAACCACAAATTCAACCAAAAATCGGTGGGAATTTCATAAAACGGATTTATAAGGTTATAAGCAAAAGTTTAAAGATAAAGAAATCAAGTTGGCTTACCAACGGTGTATGTGTCGCGCTATTGTCGGCGGTCGCACGAAAATATTTCCATTTTTCGGTAAAATTTAACGCACGGATCACTGCACTGTAAATAAACGACACTCGGTACAAACCATTTTCTAAATTTACAACTCTTTTCTGTCTCGCTTGAGCTGGTGCGAACGATATGAAATGAAAATGGCGACTGACTATTTTTCGGATTATGAAACGCGGCGTTGCCGGTTTATTATGCGACGGGAGTTTGACAGGTCTATTCGAATTTAGCGCAATTATTTTTAAAGGGCATCTAAATGAATCCAATTTTGAATTCTGTACTCATAAAAACTCGTCCGGAGTATTCTTTTAGCATGTATTTACTTGTATGTACTCTCTAAATATTTTTAAAATGTAAAAGTCTTTAAACTTTGTGAGGTACGTTAAATTTGACAACACTCTTTGCAAAGTTTATTTTATAAATCGGATGAGCTGATTATTCGTGGTTTACGCAGAGCTGAATAGTTAGGTCGATTTAAATGATGCGAATAGCAGTTAAAATAAAAATAAAATAAACAGGTTATCTCGTTAAATGCATGAATAATAATGATTACCCTAAATAATAGTAGATTGAAATAAAAACGTGTATTAAAAAGAAATTTGAATTAAATTTTACTGAAAAAAACGGTATAATATTAAAATTATTTTTATTTAGGAAACTTGTTATTAGTATTTTTCAAAAATTGTGGTTCGATTGACGTGACATCTGTACGTTGGTAATTAAATTACTTTCATGTCACTGAAGTGAATTCTATAATTTTTAGTAACACTGGCAACATTGTAGGAGAAAACAGAAAGAAGACGAACATGCAACTGTCAATATTGTCATCTGTCAGTCACTTGTCAGGTTTGTCATTATTGCCAAAACTACTTCAAAATATTAAAAAATATTCATTCGTTTTTTATGAAATAACAATGTATTATTTCAAATATTTTCCAATTAACGCCTGCATTTACTACTTTTAATTCATAAGGTGCAATCTTATCACTTAAAAACTATGTCTATTGAAAAAGTAAGTAAATTTGTATAAACATTGTGTATTCCTAATTTTTGAAGTATATTTTTCTAACGGTATTATCTGTTTTTATTTCAGAAAACAAGACAAACGATTCATAATACAACTAAAGACATAGTGAAAGAAATTAGCGTGGCTAATGAGACAGAATTTGATAAAGATTCTATTGAACTTATCGGAGAATTAGTGTATAAAAAGTTGCTGTTATACGGATCTGATTTGGATGCTTTTCAAAAGTAAGCTAATACTGAGCGTATTTCAATGATTAAATAATATAAAAAAATAATAAACATTGTTACTGTCAAGAGGAATATTATATTCTTGACTGTAATGTTGGTTGCATACCTTATAGAACAGAATATGTTTTAATACTACTTGTCTTTATTTTTAGGCACGCAAAGAGATCTACTATTACGACTGATGATGTTAAATTACTAGTCAGAAATAATCAATCCCTAGTAAGTGGTTTCTTGAATATACCATTTAAATATTTAATCTATTTTTCATTCACAGGTTGAACTGATCGATACCAAAATACAATTATTAAATTCATTAAAAACAGTAGATTTATCTGCTGGAACTGGTAACAAAAGGAAGAGAAAAATAACGAAATAAATGTGTTAAAAAATCCTGAAAGCTTCCTTTAAATAAGCCCTAAAAAAGCCAACCAAATAAATCTACAGAACACCTTGTTAATGATGTTGATTATCAAATATAGGTATTATAAAATCATAATAAAGGGAACTATTTTATAAAGCAACTTTTTATTTTCAATACATATTTTGTTTGACACAGGAAAATAAAATAGTACAAATAGTCACTTGTTTAATATACAAAATGTAAAATTAAATGATAGAAAATTAGTGCATGTGCATTTTTCCCTTTGTAGAAGCAGATATTTGTTGAAAATAAATCGTTGTAAAACTTTATTATGTATACATCAGTTTCATTTATAAATATTTTTATTTTTGATATGTAATTAATAAATAAATGACTTCTTAATTTATGTAAAAATTTAATTTGTAATGCAAACCAGTACATTTTATTTTGAACCAAACATCTTAGAAAGTATGTAAGGTTAAAGGATATTCCATTGCATGCTCTGGAATTATTATAAATGAATATTATTCTGGACACCATGTTATAAGGATAACATATTAAAATTTGGACTATTTGTTTAAATCTACATTGGACCAAACAATATTAATTCTAATTATTAATTAATTAAAATCCAAGCGGCGCACATTTCGGTAAGGCTCCCGAGATCGAACAGTCACGAGACCCTCATTAAAATATGTAAATGCTGCCCAGAAACTAAATCACAAAGAACGTGAGGAATTTTACATTAACTCACTTTACTCCATTATTATATTTGCCTTCTTGTTAAATGGTCCCATCCTTCTTCATTTATGCGAGGGAAAGAATTAACTTCATTATTATTCTTACTTCAGTACGAAACTACGAAGTGTAAATATCGGGAATTGTCCTGAGAGAATCATTTCTAATTACAGAGAAGAAATACTGCTTATGTAAAAAATGTTAAGTGCTAAAATAAGTACAAGTTTTAATTATTGGGTTTAAAATATGAAATATAAAAGTCGGCGGACTTATCGCTCACCCCGAACTCTCGCTTCTTTACTATCTATCAGCATACCATATTGTTAAGAAATTTGCACTTATTACTAATAATGTTAACGTTTATTTACTAAGATATTTAATATCATTACAGAACACAGCAAACTGCTAAAGCTACATAAAAAATCGATATAAAATCCAGATATTATCCAGAAAATGCTGCAAAATCCTTTAAAAAATATTCCCCAACAAAACATAAATTGCTAATAGCGGTATAAGTAAGTACAATACAAGTTTTAATTAATCGATTCGAAATGTACACTCAAAATCCATCAGGCACAATTTATATTACGTAATCTGGTTGAAGTTAATTAAAGTAATCGAATGTACATAAAATAATCGGAATAAACGATTTCGGCGTCGAGCCGATACAAAAAAAAAACATAAATAATTACGTGATAAATGCGTTTCTACACATACGCACTACTAATAAAATACGGCCTCATGAATTATTTTCATTATCGTACAATTTAAATGCAAATCATCTTATGTTAATTTCAGTAGGAGCTTCTCCTCTTCGACCATTCATTTTAAAGTAGCATATAATTAAATTTTATATTTATTTTTTTTACGTTGCCGAATACGTTCGAGAGGGCCCCTCTCGGCTCCGGCACTTCAACGGGATTTTCCAGGACCGCACTCGCATCTTCTGCCCGTCAATCACAATCGGAATAACCCGGAGTATTACAAGAATATTTATTGAGTCTTCCTGGACAAATCTAGTTAGTAGAAATGGAAGGTATTTGCGATTATTTTGTATGTATTATCGAGTGAAAAATATATTTCTTTGGTTTCCAAGAAAATATATCTAATGTAATAAGGTTGGTGTATAATTTAGCCAAAGGCCAGTCCTGTTTGTTGGTTTAATGAATGAACGTTCGGGTGGATGGATAGATGGATTCAGTAGACGAAAAAGGGGTCCAACCCTTTCGCCGATTCTAATTAAAAATTTGGACCCCGTCATGTTATCAATTTGGTATTAATCGATTTTTGTAAACTGTGGCTGTTATCAATTTGGTATTAATCGATTTTTGTAAACTGTGGCAATTTCAAACCACACCGAACATACACACGGAATATGGCAAAAAACAATATAACAAATTGCATGTGCGTTTCCACGTAAAAGAAAATGTAATTTACCTAAAAACATAATGCAAATAAAGGTGGATATATTTTTAGAATATTGGATTTGCGATATAGACGCGAAATCGCGAATAAATAGCAGAATTTTCAATTATCGAAACCCCGTTCTGTTTGCCAGTCGTTTCCTCGTTGTTTCGAATGGAAAAATCGCGATCGCGTCATCGAATTTTCCGATTTTTCTAGTAGTCAATCAAAGTTGCATAATTGGAGCATTGACCGCAATTTTAATGAAACTCCGGTATGGCCGACCTTTCGCCCTCAAAAATACATTAAAATAGAAAATACCAATTGAAAATTCGACCGCAAAAAGGATTAACAAACGGCCCCGCCGCTTATATGGAAAATTAAAAACGGTTGTTTTTCGGAAACCCATTCCTATCAATTTGGAAATACATTTAGGTAAGTTGCAGTCGATGCTACCTAAATCTCTAATCTCTACATGTTTCACTGAAAAAAAAAATGTTCGTATAGGTTCCAAATAAATTGTACTTATCTTAGTGGATTAAATTTTGTTATTAGATAAAGGTTATTGCAATTCGTAAAGTTTGAGTAAATAAAATAGTGAATTTTTGTAACTCTCTGAGGACCCTCATAATGAGCATGAAGATATTAGAGGCTCGTTTTTCAAAATACACATTTACCTATTGGATCTGTGACATTATTTTTATAAATAATTTAATTTATCATTAATCATTTAATTAATTTACCTTTAATTATCGAAAGAGAGCATTAAATTATCGATAAAAGTGCCCTCACAAAAAATTGTCATTTTAATTCCGAATACCAATCTCCCATAACACTCCGCTAGTAGCCATGACGACCAACGTTTTTTTTATACGTACAGTAAATTAAAAATCATCCCACTACACAATGAAAGAGAGGAGGAATGAGGTTGTGTCGTGTTTTTTTTTGGTCTTTTTTCGTTATTTTTCGTCGGACGCTCAAACAATATTATAAAGGATTATTAAAATATTGACTGCGGGTCGAGTGAATGGTTTCACATCGGCAATGCGATTCGTTTAAAAAATTAATTAACTGTTTTGGAGCTGAGGTAACACATGAATTCGTCTGTCGTATTGTTCTCGTATACATTTTTATGAGGCCGCCGATCCACTCATCCCCTTCAGGTGGGGGGCAACCTGCGCCCCTTTCGCCCAGCGCCCCCTCGTTGCCGGCAAATAAATTTAAAAAGTCGATGCGAGAGATACGGGCTTTTAAATTTCGGCCTAAAAAAACCGATTTATTTAAAACCCCTCCGTTTGGGGGTCGCGATCATATCGGTCAAGTCGAAAGTACGTGGAAAGGGAAAAGTGGCCCTCGTTTCGTTTCGCTTATGGAAATTATTCTTCGTATGGCAAAATTGCTGGAATTAAGCGAAGCGGAAATTATCTGTTAGAAAATATGAGGGGGGCGTTGGGGAGGCTAATACGTTAGGGACGAAAAGAATGAATGTATTTAACTGTTTTTGTTTTTTCTTACACATATCTCGAACTAATTTAAACTTAATTTTAAACAAATAAAAGCAAATATTTACAAATATAATTACCACATTTTTATAAATAATTTTTTTGCATTGCATTTATAATTTTTTAATATTTGAGACAATTGTCATTGGACATATCCAATTTTTAAACATTTTTTTTTCAAACCTAGTACTAATTTAAATTTAATCTAAGAAAAATCAAAGGTAAATAAATATTATACATATGTAGGTATTTTTTACATTTCATTAGTATTTTTAGATTTTAGACGATTGACATTTGAGAGGTAATTGACAATTGGTAATTTTATTCAATTTTAAACAAGAATTTTTGATTTTTTTTAAACTGGAACTCTAATTTAATTTCAAAAAAATAAATTTTACAAATATTTTTTACATTTTTTCTAGATTCCTGACAACTAACATTTGAGATAATTGACATTTGACATATTCAAATATAGGACCTACGCGCTTATGTTGGAGTATGCATAATGGATTTTCGCAGTTTTTATTCATATACGAAATAATAAATTAAATAGAACGTCGTCTCTCGCACCGCGGACGTTAATCATAAATATTCGCCCGAGCAAATTAAACTGAAATTAAATTTTAACCCGTTTCGAAATAGAGTCGACTTCTTATTAAAAAAGTTAAAACTGCTAATTACAGCGTCTTGAAAAGCCAACGGAACGGATAACGTATACTTAAAAATTAATGATATGTTCGAAGAAAAAAGAGGACGCGACTCCTCGGTTTTTGTTATCCTTTATAAATTTATTATGTTAGTAAGTTATGCACATGAGGTGGGCACACCTACTTCTTGAAAATTATAATGCCTCGGGGTAACGAATATCCATCCACTCAGCTCTCTGCCCGGATTGATATTAATTATAATGTAATAAATTCGAACTTTGAAATGTAACAGAGCATTTTTAATTACGAGCTCGATAATTAAAATCATCTTTCTCGGTTGTTGAGTAAAATTACCTAAATAAATTTTCCGTTGGCTTCTCGGCCGGGCAATTACAACATAATTAGGCCTCTCTTACCATTGTGATAAATTGTTTCGAGAGACTTGTTTTCTAGCATTCGTTGCGTATAAGTAATCTACATGCAAATACCTGCTCACGTGTCGTTTTAGTATCTTTTTTTTTCCTTCGCCGACTGGAAATCATCGTAAAAACTCGATGCTAATCTAATAAAGTTCATTAATAATGCAATAAATAAATAATATATCGGATAAACTTGTTATTACATTGATCAATTTCTACGCAACTTTTAATAGTTTTGAATAATCTCAATTTCTTACAAGAATACCTATAAGCTTTTCAAATTAAACCTTAAATACATCCTTAAGAGAAAAGAATCCATTATACAATCGCCAAAAGAGAAAATTTTTATAAAAGTATAAAAATGATTAATTTTAATCTAATAAAGTTCATTAATAATGATGCAATATAAATATAGTAGTTCATCGTATAAACATGTTATATGTTATTAATAAAAGTAATTATTACTTATTATTACTCCATTATTACCTCTTAATAGAGTATGTTTTTAAAATTAGAACATAAAAACATTCGTAAGAGAAAACCATGTATTACAATTCCCAACTAAAACAAACTTTATATAAAAGTTCAAAAATGATATCTTAGCGAACGTTAATCGCTATTAAGCTACAAAATT